AAAAGCTTTATTTTACTGCATCTCCACTTAACGGTGTACAGTAGTTTTTATATGTCAGCTTTAGCTTTTGAAGTGGTGTCTTGGACTAGATTAATTCCATGCATAAAATCATCTGCATTTTCTAGAACAGGGAGGTTATGGTTTCTTACCCAATAACTCAGTTCACTGAACATACTGTTTTGTAATATTGGTGGTTTATGGGTTCGGTGTGTGGGTGTTTTGTTTGGGTGGGGGGGTTTTTTCTTTGTTTTTTTGGGGGGTTTTTTGTTTGTTTTTGCAGCTTATTTATAAAATATTTACTTTGTTGTTCTAGTTCTTAATTGCTTTGGCATTTTTTATAGCATCTTTCAACGAGTTTTCAGTAATCTTTTGGCTTATTAATGCGCAATGTATCTACACAGGGAGAATTTGTTTTCAGAGTTTTGCTTGGGTAACCATGTTAACCTCATGTTAATAATGTCATTGTCATTCAAAAACAACATCTTGCCTCTAAGGTCTTGAGATATTGCTTCCATCAACAGTGTGGTCCTACCTCCTTGGGATTCCCAAGTGCCACTGGAAGCAGAAGAACACAACCATAAATGAAAGACTAAATAAAATTTCATTTATTTTTCAGTATTGTATTTCGTTTTATATTTCACAAATTATTTACATCAGTAATAATTTTCACTTGCAGATAATAACCTGCATTTATAAGGCTTTCAAAACTTCATTGATTTATGATGTTGACATTTGGAAATATTTTCGGATATTTTCTTGCAACGCGGGAATTTTGTGAGCACTGTATTAGAAGGTGGTTTAAAGAGAAGGACTAATAACACTACTAAAAACTGGCAGACTCTAGAAAAATGTGTATTTTTATCTGTTATTTGTTGACTTGGTTTACTACTATTTTTTAGGTCAGTATAACACTTTCCTCTGAGGCTGTGGGTCAGATGTTATTAAATAGTGCAGCACAGATGACAGGTACCAGAAATAAAGTAGTGCAAATACAAAATGGTGCTGATGTTTGCACCCCTGAGAAATCCATCATATATCAGACCAGATATTACTCACAAACTTGCTTATTAGAACCCATTTTGTTTTTAGGAGTTGACTTCGTAGTGCTGGCTTGATGTATTTTAACTTCAACTTGCCCTGAGTTTAAGAAAGTAGCTTTAGGCTATAACTGCATAATGTAGCAGCCTGCACAGTACTGTTGCTTTGCTGAGTTTTCTTGGTGCCACCCTGCCAAGGTGTGCTACTGTGGCGGTGATGGTGATGGGCAGCTGTCTCCACACTGAGTGAGGTCTTCGCTTGGAAGAGGCAGGATGCTGCAGTGCAGGGGAAAGCAGGAGCCTGCTCAGCCAGCTTTACTGTTGGACCTCCCTCCCACCGCCTCCCTCTGCTTTCAGGGAGGCTGCAGCCTATGTTCGCCAGCCTCCCGAGGGGGCTGTAAAGTGCAGCAGTTTTTTCACAGTTCTAGCAAATTTAAGCAGTTGTGGGTGCTTTTTTTTTTTCCAGATTGTTGACACTCTTAAATGAATTTATTGCAGTAAACCCATTAAGAGTTAATGAAAGCAGTTACAGTAAAATCTCATTCAACACTAAGGATAGGAAATTGCCTGATACCCCTTACAGCTTATTGATTTTTAGTATGGACCAGTCCAGAAAAATTGAGCCATCTGCTTGGATCATCAATTGGTTTGAGTTTAGATGCATAATCTTCCATTATCAGAACTGTACTATAACTGAGTTGACGACAGCCAACTAAGACAAGTCTCAAACAGTCTTTCAGCCTGCCAGTACTGAGTGTTGGTCCTTCCCATATACTGGCAGAATAAAGTGCACCCGTCATGTTACACAAGGTCTTTTTTGCTCAGTTGTCTCCGTGCCCTGTGGGAGATGCAAGTCTCTGTCTCCTAAAAACATGTACAGGGAAAGCCAGTTGAAACAATCTGTCTAGTTCAGTCATACAAGGTTGGAATAGAAGCAGAAGTCCCATGCTACTTTTACAACTGGGTTTTGTAGCTGTTAACCACTGCCAAGTCGATTTTAGATTGTTACCACGATAATTCTGAGCATTTTTTCCCTAAGATTTGGACATAATTGGCTAAAACTTAATAGGTTTTAACAACTAGAAGAGGCTTTAGTCTTAAGGCTTAGTCTGCTTTAGTTTTTATTAAGGTTATGACCTTTGTCTGTTGTAGACTAAAAGAAATTCAAGACTGACTTCCAGCCACAGTTGCAAGTATGCTCTTGGAGAGTTGGTTATATTTTGTGTGTTGTGTGGCAAGTAGTCCAACCCCCTGAAATAATGATTGCAAAATGCCAGAAGGAGTGTTTTTAGTACTACTAACACTGTACTTTTTGAGTTGTCATTATCTTTGGTAGACCAAGTTTGAGTAGATTATATTAGTGACTCAGAGGCTGTGAATGCAAATAAAGGTCCTGGTAGCATAGGTTAAGGTTTTGGCAAATTTGTTTTTTTTCTCGTTGATATAAGTTATATGGAAATAATAGAAAAACAAGACAATTTTAAACTGTTCCTTCCTAGGACAGAAAAAGGTGTTTATTAAACCAGAGAGGGAATAATTGAGATACCCATACAGCATATTCCTTCTCCATGAGATTAGAGAAATGCTGCATTTAATTTGCCTGGAACAGATCCACAGCAGTTGTTATTGATTTCTTCTTGAGGTTTGTTATCTTTGATGTTCTAAGTACATTATAACATTAAGACTAAGTTGTGAGACTTAGTGAATTTAATGCTTGACCTTTATTATGGTTTTCTATAAAGGTTTCTCTACAAGTCATTTTGTAATTAACTTTTCACGTAAAAGTAAATGACACAATAGATGTGACCTACTTTGCAATGTTTCAAAAGAAAATCCTCTTTCTAATAAGCAGTGTTTAATAAATATTATTTTCCATTCCTTTTAACTGAATTAAAAAAATCAAGTAGTTCTCAGTGTATAAGAGGTGGGATTCGTTTTCTCTCTTTCACATAATGTAGTGCCTCTGAGGAGTTTTCTAATTATTTTTATTAGTCCAAAGTAACATTACAAATGAAAGGTTTTTGTGCTGAGGTTTTGTACCATCTTCTACTTACTACATCACATACCATCACAGCAATTTTTGAAGTCCCTGAGCAACTGTTCTTATGGGATCTTCTTTTTTGGCTTAACTGTCTAATAAATCTGTCCCAAAGTTAGTAGTAGTTTTTGACTGATGTTTCTATCTCAGTGTCTGGTTTGTTTGGTTTTTTTTTTTAATTTTTTTTACTTGTGTACCGTTATCATTGTCTCTGAAGGTATCTCATAACTTTTTGCTCTCATTTTTTTCCCGTAGAGTTACAATTTGCCACACCTTGCAACATATTTTAGGATTTTCAACTTGTCGGACTTGAATATTGCTTTCTTTAACCTGAGCATTTTACTTTACCTTCTTAAAACTGCTGTAGCAACTTGTTTTATCCATGTTTAATCAATTTGTTAGTTTGGGGGAAGAGTGCTTTTGAAATATATCTCCCAAGTGTCCCCACTTCAGCATGCTTTGGTTTGCATTGCAGAGCAGTCTTGGTGTGAGTGAATTTGATTCCTTCTGGATGAAAACTGTTTGGAAGAGGTGCTCTAGAAGTGCACCAGACATGTACCACTCACTAATGGGCATTCAGTCCATGGCATCAGGTGTTTTAGTCATGGCTAGCTCTAGTTAGAAATGCAGTAGATATGTTAGCTCAGAACCAACTTGTTTGTTTTACAAGTGCACTTGTCTTTGGCTCCGTTACTTGCTGATGCAGATGTGGCCTGTGAACTTGGCTGTGAGTGCTGAGTTAGAGCCATTGATAGTTTAATTTAAAGCGTTCTTTTTGTTCACAGCAAGTTCTTCACTAAGAAAGGAGATATCTGGTCTGGTTTGACACATTTTATAGGTTTGGGGTTTTTTCTGCAGGAAGTTTTTTGTCTTGCTGTTTCAAACCTCCTGTGTACACAAGTGTGGATGTTTGGTCCTGTAGTTGCTTACTTTTAAATATGAGCATTTTGTTGGAAATATGTGTGAGTATAATATATAGGAATATATATGAGTATATATATATATGAGAAATATGTGTGAGGAGATATTTCTGATACATTTTCTGATGGTCTACAGTAATTGCATGCTGTAATTTCTTTTTTCATGTTTCTGTAAATATTTTAAAAAAATCATAAATACTTCATGATTTACAGATAGGAATGCTACTTTTGATGTTTAGTGACTTACCTGCGTGTCTTGTTTCACATTTTTACCATCTGGATTTGGCCCAAGTATAGACAACTAGCAGATTCAGTTTATAAGGTTTAGTTTTTACATCTGTCTAGATGATACCAACAAAGCAATTTACAGTTTATCACAGTAAAAGTTATTTTGATTTGAATTTTTTGCTCTCAAGTTGAAAAAAGCGTGAAATCACCTTGTGTCTAAGAATCCAGACATTCCTTTCTGGGAAACTATCTTAAAATTCAATCCAAGTCCAGACTACTTCACTAAACAAGCAGACATTTGCCCATGTGTTAGTAAGTACAAGTAGCATGTTCTGTGCTGAACTGGATGGATTGGGTCAACTTATTACTCTTCTTGCTCCAAGAGACAATCAGCTATACCTAATGTTGATTAACTACTTATCTGTTCTTTAAAGACGTCCAGAAATTGATGTTCCAGTACTTAACTGTCCTAGGATCACAAAGTGTTTTTTTCCAAGTGTTCAGCTTATATATCCTGTTTCTCAAATGCAGATACACTTTCCGTTTCTGCAGAAGCACGGAGAATAGTTGATTCTTTTCCTCTTAGAACATTGATGTGTAATATACTGTTACAGGTGTTACTGTGCAGATATTTTGGGGAGTTTCTAAAATTTTTGATGACTTTGAAGGAGTTTTCAGTTGTTTTGGCCTTCTTAGCATAACTGTTGCAAACTTTCAGAGCAAGATAGCACAGTATCTTTGTGTCTTTAATAGCCTTTTATTCTTCTTACATTGTAGATGCTGGCATCACCATCAACATCAGGTCAGCTGTCTCAGTTTGGGGCAAGTTTATACGGGCAACAAAGTAAGAATTCTTTTTATTGGTGATATGTTTATTTTATGCTAAATATGTTACAGTTGCACACACAGTGCATAGAGAATATGCAGATGAATGTTTTCTGGTGATTGTAAAAATGACAGTATGTCCCCTTATGTGCAATTATTTTAATTTTTTTAAGATGTATTTTTGCTTTGCTTAATATGCATTTTTGCAGTGTTTAGTGTGCAAAGTGTCATATATCGACACTGTATAACTGTTAAATATCCAAATATAACCATGCTATAAAAAATGTCTGTGATTTATCCATGACTCTCTGAAGGAAAACCTAAAGAAAGTGAGCTGGGCCAAAATGAGCCTAGTTCAGAAAAATATGTAAAGAATTGAAGGAAAGTATACCTTAAATATAACTGATATTTCATGCTCTGCTGGAGCACACTGAATCTTGTGTATGTACTTGGCACCTTGCATTTGGCAAAGATTTGGTCAGTAAGATTGCCTTCTGCACCACTGTTTTTTCCTTTCCTGTACCTTGGAAGTTTCATCTGTATCTGCCAGTCTTGTGGACACTGTTACAATAAAAGACCTATAGAGCAACAGTCACATGTAATGCTAACTTAGGGCCAGTGTTGAGAACTGAAGCTCCTTGTAACTGAGAGGTGCATTCAGACAGTGAGTCAGAATATCTGAGTTAGATACAGTTCCACAAGTAAAACTGGTTGTGAGCATCATCTCTCCTGTGTCACTGTATGGTTTTGAATCTTTTCAGCTGTTTTGCCAAGTGCTTCTGACTCAGATTCTATGAAAAAGCATCTTCAGAGTACTTGAGAGAGTCTGGACTTTTTATCTGGACAAACTAAAAGCTTTGTTTACTAGATGCATGGCCTTCCCAATTTCTTTGAGCTTTCTTCAAATAGCTTCTTAAAAAATATAGTGGGCTTTCTTTTTTGTTGGTTTTCTTTTTTGTTGTAGGGTTTGTTTACTTATCTCAGTGGCCATTGATGAGTGACTATGTAATATAAATTGGCATTTGATTATGCTACTGGGATTTATATGAGCAGCTTCCAGCCAGTCCAAGAGTCCTGTTTGGGTCTTGTCTTTTGGGTCCTGATTCTGACACTATTGAATCTTTCAGACTTAACTGTCTACAGATACTGAAATAGTTTATTCATTCTATTTGTCAGTTATTTGTTGTTTATTTTTAAGGTCAACTTTTTTCATTAACTTAGTTGCTCATAGAGTTGGTTGTGGTGCCTAGGATGTAATTTCTAACACAGAGGCATACATGGCCAAAAACTTAAAAGTAAATATTATCGGATGTCAATTTCTACCAAATCTTGAGGAAAAGCGGCAAGAAACTTCTGTGTTGAAGTCATGCTTATGATTAAAATACTTTTTTAGGAAAAACAAAGCTGATAATGGCTATGCACTTTTAGTGATTGGTAGCTGTCAGTCATTAAGCAAGATGCCATGTTATAGCGTTAATGTAACTTAGACATAAAATTAGGAAGGAAGTTGGCCATTTCATTGATCAGCCTCCAATGTAGCCCATATAGATCTCTTGTCTCAATTAGAAAACTGGAAAAAGTAAGAAAAAAAGTAGGGCATTTTCTCAATGACTGTTTCAACTGCCCCTCCCTGCTAGGGATATAGTTCTACTTCGCTGTAACATCCCTAATCATTAAAAATTCTAGTTTAAAGAAAGCCAACAAGAAGAAATAATCATCAGTGTAAAACTGGCTTTGCTAAAACAAATGCTTGCACAAAATTAACTTGAATGTTGTAATTGTGGTTTTTTGGTGTGCTGTATCTAGTTTAAAAATGTATGTATTTTTTCGTACCATTTTATTTTTAAAATTCTGTGTAATTGTTAATTGGTGTGAAATATTATTTATAATATATATTTATGCTCATTGACATTATTCTGATGCAGCAAATTGCCAAAATATTTACAGTCAACACCTTGATATAATCAGCTTTTAATGAAGTGTTAGGATACTTGTTATAGCAAGTTACACTAGCTCTTAATCTGAATGTATAGAGACAGATTTGAGTGTTATAAACACTTTGAGTTTTGTTGCAAACTTTTTGGATTGCAAATTGTAGGATAGGACACAGACACCAGTTCTTTAAGTGCGAGAGCTAAATGACTGGGAGGTTTCTTCAGACCTTGTCTTGATAATAATTTGAACATATGCTATGTCTGTCCTTTGCATTCTTAGTATTTAATCACATTATACAATGGCATATTCAGCTCTTCTGCAGCGGCAATCTACCATGGGAGAGTGCTGATACATCATAATTTTCTTTTGTTTGATCTGCAAGATAAGGTTTTGAGTTCTGTGAGTCTACCTCAGCAGCCTTATGCCAAAGCAATAGGAACTGTAACTTACAGTTATTGCATTTTATATGCTAAGTTTGTTCCTATTGCTATGTTGCACTAAATGACTTTTTCTTGTCTTTGAGCATAATTCTGAAACTTCATAAACACAGAAAAGTGATGTGAGAATGATGAGGAACTTCATAAACCTTCTGGACATTTTGAGACAGGGCAGTAACTGGTTATCTTCTGCTGTTCTGAATTGAAGTAATTTATTTTTTTACCTTACTGAAAAAAGTGTGAAAAAAGGCTTGCGTTATTCTGTCACACAGTTGTTTGTATAGAAAATACTTTTGATCACAATGTTAAAACTCTTCTGTATGTTTCTAAATGCAAATAGAGGGCATTTAAAATTCTGCTTGCTTTCTTTTCTCAGAAGGTCAAACTTGACTTGATCATGGACATTGAAGTACTGTTGCCATAAAGAAGCAACTTAAACTTAGAGAGAATTGGCCTAAAATGTTGCTTTCGTTATCCTGAAAACAATGTTACTGTTAAGTAAATATCCATCGCTTTCTTTTTTTAATTAAAGATTTGCTTAATTTTTAACAAGACAAATCAGTGTTCTAAATACTGGCCAAATATATATACCAGTTAACATATTTCTTGAGTGCAGTTGCTAATTTTCCCAAAATGCTGCCTTTTTTTGAGATAATTTGTAGATTTTCATGTCTCATAAAAAACCTCAAAACTCAACCCTTCATCTACAGTATACATCTCAAAGGAAACAAAATTTTGCTAGCGACTTCAAATATAGAAATTCCTCAAAAAACCTGTCTAAAATTAAACAGAAAGGGGGCTGAATTTGATAATTGGACTTCTACTATGCAAACAAGGACTTAGTTTTTGCACTGCACTTTCCTTCAGTCTTTACACTTTTTGGTACGTTGTCAGCATAAATTGTTTCCATCTACACCTGATGGAGAAGACTTTGTTCCTGATTGCTCTGTATCTCCACCCCTCTGAATTTTTTTTCAATAGGTGCACTAGGCCTTCCAATGAGGGGAATGAGCAACAATACCCCTCAGTTAAATCGCAGCTTATCACAAGGCACTCAGTTACCGAGCCACGTAACGCCAACAACAGGGGTACCAACAATGTCACTTCACACGCCTCCATCTCCGAGCAGGTATTTATTGATAGCCAATATTTCTGCGATTGTGTCTTTTTGCAGAGCTCTTGTTAAATGGTCTGCATATTTTGCCTCACCTACTTTTCAGTCTGATAAAAAAGAAGTAGTTTCTTATGGACCACTGCCTGTGTTAGGGAAATAATACAGTAAAATAGTAAGGATTTACTTTAAGACATTATTTGATTTTTGTATATAAAGGACAAATTGCTGGCAAATTCTGCTTCAGAATGTAAGAGGTTATTATTTGATTGTTCAGGTAAATATACAATTAAAATTTTTATAGGATGCCATACACTGTGTAAAAATATTAAGATAGTAGGTCTGAAGCTCTCATTAAAAAAGGAGTTGTAACACCTTTTCATATTTATAATATTTAAGTATTTATCTAAACCTGACCAAGGACTTGATTAGTATATAAAGGGTCATCTGGTATTTCTGAAGAAATCCAGAACTGCATTAATTATAGAGAGTAATCCAAATATGCTGTTTGGTCACTAAGTGCAAATTAAATTGCAACAGCTCAGAGTCCATCCTACATTAGTAATACAAATGAGTAGCCAAATACTGTTGTACAGATTCATCTCTGTGGATGGTTTTTCTCTTTCAGGGGGATATTGCCTATGAATCCTAGGAATATGATGAACCACTCCCAGGTTGGTCAGGGCATTGGAATTCCCAGCAGGACAAACAGCATGAGCAGTTCAGGGTTAGGCAGCCCCAACAGAAGCTCTCCAAGCATAATATGTATGCCAAAGCAGCAACCCTCTCGACAACCTTTTACTGTGAACAGGTAAGGCTCTTTAGTTGGACCATCCCTGTACAGCCATGTACATGCTAATCAGGAAATGTAATTTTTATCCATTAGAATAAATCTCAAAAACTGCTTCGTGTGTTCATTAGGCTTCAGCTGTGTTTTGGTGCTATATTTATGCTTTCTTCATACTGATAAACTTGAAGTAAGTACTGTCTTAGTTCTAATTATTTAATGTGTGTAGTCACAGCTTTGCATGGCTGACTGCTTTGTTCCATGACCTCATGATCGCTGTGCTCCCGGTTTTGTCCTTTTTCTCCCTTCATGCCCTTTTAAGAGCGAGGGGAGTCGCTCTTAGAGGAGCACAAACATGCTAGTGCAGTCAGGTGCCATCTCTAACCCAATATAGTATTTTACAAAATAAATAAAGGAAGGTGAAAACTAATGTCACAGTTATCTGAACCTTAATCAGGCTACTTAGTTCTGTAGTTTCACACTGATATAGGCATACAGATGCTTTTCTCAATGATCACAGCAATAGTGATTCAGTGGTAGCAGTTTATGTTCTTGGAGTCTGAGAAGACTTTGTGTCTTGCCTCTGATTACATAGAATTTGCCTTTTCTATCCTGTATAGTGTCAAGTAGAGGAGAGGATAATTTTAAAAGATAATATCATATTTTAAAGTGTTTTTGAAATTTGAGATCACAGAAGGTTGAAGTAGTAACATACTTAAAAACTCTACATGCAGAGGACAATAATATTGGATATTGATACATGTATAGAAATTACATGTTTAAATTTCATTCAGCTGTAGAGAAAATAATGAAATCCCTGTCTGTAGGAGCATTTGAATTAAAATCCTCATCTTTCACTGTTTCATTGTATATCTCACTTTCAAGAAGCTACAGTTTTTACAAGTTGAGAAGGAAATATCTCTGGAACAATGACGGGTTCTTATTCTACAGTTTATTAGGCTACAGAAGTATAGTAGGAATACAATATCCAATTGCTAATAGATATATTTAGCAAAATTTTGAAATCATTATTGGGAAAAAGTTTATGGTGTTTGCTTGTCAGGTGCATGAATTATGTGACTTCCAAGAAGTGTTTTCTGAATAGTTGCTTAGTTGGAGCATTGAAAATTTTTAGGTTAGGTTTTTGAACATGAAGCAATTTCAAATTAGAGTGAAATGCTTCAGATTTGTAACTGTGTAAAAAGTTGGTGTGATTTCCACTAGGAAGGTGTTTCTTTTTTTTTTTTTTTTAATGGAAATTTCTAAAATATCAGCTTCCCTTCTGTTACAGGGGAAAAGTGAATGTCGTGATTTCCCACAGGGCAGACATTCAGAATTTTACTCAGCTGGGGGCCTACCTTTGAGCTTCTCAGCATCTCCAGCTCTCATGGAATGAAGCGGATTACTTGTGGGGTTGTCTTTCCAACCACACTAGACCTATATGATATTTAGATGTTTTCAGGTATTTTTGCCTGACCATATGAAACTTTAGTTTGTGTCCTCTTATGACAGAGACTATCCCTATGCTCGTAGTAATGCCATGTGTACCTGGTAGTGATTGCACACTGTAATCGTTCAGATTATGAATGAGTCATGACAAACTTGATCACTTTCATGATCCAACTTCCCACCTGCAAATGAATGAATTACAGTCTGACTTTTAACTACTGCATTTACTGCTGCTTCCTTTTTCTGTATGAAATTATTGAGTAACGATTGTGTTTGTCATAACCTGTTGGTTGACAGATTTCTTAAGATGTGGTGGCTGTTAAAAAATGGAGCTATTTTGAAGTCATTCTAGTTGACTTGATTGACTCTGCTGCTCAGAGTTTTCAGAAGTATAAAGGAAAATAATTAAAACCTGAGTTTAGGCTAATTTGGGTTGCTTAAGCTTGAAATAATTTAAATGTCCTAGGGGTTTTTTTTGCCCCCTTAATACCTTCCACTGGAAATTAAAACGTACGTATACCCTTTTGTCTGACTTCGTGAATTTTTTTCACAGTATGTCTGGATTTGGGATGAACAGAAATCAGGCATTTGGAATGAATAACTCCTTATCAAGTAACATTTTTAATGGAACGGGTGAGTTTACTCTGTTTAATGTTGATCTTAAACCACAGTAGAGATATTTTTTTTTACTAAATAAGTCTCATTGAAAAAACTTTGTTCTGTTGGAGTGCAACTTTCTTATAATTTTCAGTTGTTCCATAGAAATGGTGCTCCAAGAGCAAACTGTTCCTACTTCATAGCAGTGGATTTTAAAACTTTTGAAGACAAAGTACACTGTAGTATACTGGCAGTACATCACGTGGTTATAGATTATACCTCGTTGGTTAGAAATGCAAAATAGCTCATGGAATTGATAAGGACATCAGAGAAGAAAAGATTTATCCATTTTCTATGAAAACATTAGATACATAAAACCAGTGGAAAAGCTTTTTTTTTTGAAATCTCAAGCTCCTTTTGAACAGCTGGCTTACGTATTCCCTTCAGTCAGTTGTTTCAGTTGTGATTTTTCTCTGGGAATTACTTCTTCACCTGAATTTAATGAACTAGAGAGTGGAAAATATCCTTGTGCAGAAATGTCTTAGGTTCATGTGTGCTGATGTTTCTGTAGGTGGCTGCATATATGAAGCAACCTGAGGTGCTGGTGACATCACAAGAGTGGAAGGATTTGGGCATTCCCTAGGACATTGTGACATTTTTGTAGAGCTGCAGCTCTGACCTCACCCATGTAGTATTTTCTGCTGCAAATGAAAAAGTGTTCCCATGTAACTTGCACTGCATTGGCTCTTCAGCTGCTTCAGCTTTGTCTTACCTTGCCTAAGGACAATAGAGCTCTTTGATGCTGCTGCTACTATGGGTTATTCTCTCAAATTTCTTCTTGATAGCTCTTCAAATTTAAAACAGGCCACCTATCCTAGTACTGTAATTTTGATCGTCTACCTGTATTTTACGTGTGCAATCTTTAATTCAAAAGGAGTAGACCTTGTTACTAAATGCTGTTGACTAGCTATTGTTTAAAAGCAAACCTCAAACATCTTGGTGCTCTTTAGGCAAGTCTTGTAACACAAAGGCTGTAGTTATTTGTAATAATAATAGTACAAGAAAAAAGACCAACTTAAAGAAAGAAGATATGTCCTACATTTGTCTTGCACATAATGAAGTCTTTGAGCAAAGTATGTAAGCAAATTAAAAATATCTGTTTTTATTGTAGATGGAAGTGAAAATGTGACAGGACTGGACCTCTCAGATTTTCCAGCACTAGCAGACAGAAACAGAAGGGAAGGAAGTGGCAATCCAACTCCATTAATAAACCCTTTAGCTGGAAGGGCACCCTATGGTAAGACTATATTAAAAGCTCTTTGAATAAAATAGGTATTTGCTTAATTCAGCTTTTGCTGTTCATAAGACAATAGGTAGTCTTTTCAAAAGTGCCAAATGTGTGAGCTCCTAAGACTCATTTAAAAAAATAAATAATTAATATTACAGTGATTGGAGATCCCCATTGTAAGTATCAGAATTCATATGCTCTAGTTGTACTGTCAATAGAGATTGTTGGGGTTTTTGGTCTGTCTAGTATGATTATTCTGAGGCTGCTCACTCGAGGTATTTCTTAGATAACAGGTTTTATTCAAATTGCACGTATACAAGAGCTGTTGATGTCTGAGTAATAAATTACAGGAATAGTATTTGAATAGTAGAGATGTTACTGTGTAAAAAGTCAGCAGTTGTAAACATACTGTATATTTTTGCTGTTTATTAATAGTATTTGCTGTAGTACTGTTCACTGTCACTCTTATGACAAACATCAAATTTCAAAAAAAATAACCTGTAGGCGTCAACTATTATCAGTCAGATTCCAAGTAGATATCTTATGTAGTTCTTGCTGAACAACTTAAAAACAATACAAGGAGAAAACTTTAGGTGGATACAAATCTTATTAATTGGGTCTTGAAAAAATTCAGGTAAGCTTAGTGTGAGGCACAAAACTTTCTTTTTGTTACTGCTTTAGTAGATTTTGTCATGCACGTTGCATCAGCTACTCTGAAAAGTTGCTTTTATAACCTATTTTTGTGATACTTGTCAAATTTTTAACCAAAAATAACCTAGTGTTTTCTAACTATAAAAGCTGGTGTTTTTCAGAGATAGCTCGAACTGTGGTTGAAGATAATATATACCGCATTATCAACAGAAAGTAGCCTCATGGATTTGGCATAACCAGGCCCTCTGTGTAAGATAGCTGTGAGAAAGAACCAAACAAGTTAAACTTGCCTGTGCCAAACACAGGGAAAAGTCACTTCCCCAAACAAAGACACTCAAAACTCAGACCAGGAGTGGAGACCTAATACAGCTTGCATGAGATTTTGTCCACTGTAGAATCATAGAATGGCTTGGTTTGGAAGGGACCTTAAAGGTCATCTAGTTCCAACTCTGAAAGGAAAGACATTATATGAAAAAATAATAGAAGGTAGGAGGGAGATCCACTTCCAGATGTACTTCCAGCATGGATCTGGATTTCAGCACTCGACAGCACTGCAGCATAAAAAAATCCCCTGTAATTGCTCTCATGCTTACACCATTTCCCCATTTTGGTGCTAGCATAGCTGTTTGCACAACTGTATGGTGAACCACGAAAGAAAGTTCTCTGTTTGAAGAGTTATCTTGAGCTGCTTAACACAGGGGATGCATATGGAGGTAGAAACAATCCAGAAAAGGAGATGTGAGATGCACTGGATACTGTCTTCCAAGACAAAAATGGAGAGCAGTTTTGGTTGTGGACAAGAAAAGAAGGTTTGAAACGGAGCAGAGACATACTTTCTTCATGCTTGGTTATTCAGGAAAATTATACTTCAAATAACTTTTAGATGGAATAAAAATATTTATTAAAGTTAATTCATTATCAGTTTTATTTATCCAGTGGAAGACATTGTAATAACTCTGGATGAAAAGACTGGACAGCAGAAACAGGATTAACTCAGTGTTGTTCTTTTTTTTTAAATAAAGGAACTTTGACCTCTAACTTCAGAATACTAAAGAAAGTCATGTATAGTCATCTACCGAACCATTTTAGATCCTATACATCTACTAAGAACCTTTGAAAAATAGGCCCTAGACTTCCTTCTGTCTTCTGTTCCTCTGTTGCAGTGTTCTTTGCAACCAAATCACTATATTACTGTGTCTAGCAAAGTCTATTTGCTCTTGGGTGCATCGTGTGGGGACTTCTTTTGTTTTGGTTTGTTTTGGTTTTAACTGGCATAAAGGGAAAAAAAACCAAACCACATTGCCTTTTTGCTTTTCAGTAGTCAGAATCCAAATTCCAGTGTGACTGACCTGCTCTTTTGAAATTAGGGTCAGAGCACTGGGAGTTGCAGGCTAAATGTTCTCAGTTTTCATACTGAAAGTAGGAGTTGTTCTTATGTCACAGGCAAGTATTTCATTCGTGACATGTTCTGTTGCAAGTTAGCTGGGAGTACTTTGAGAATACGTGCTTCTGAAGAGATTATGCTACAAAATTCTTCATGCAGTTAGGGGATGGAGGAAAAACGTATTATACTCTTAAAAAGAGTACATCCTTCATCAGTGGATTTACCTGAATACAGCATTAATAATGCCTGTAAAGATTATTTGATTATTTAGATGTGCAAAACAAGGTGGCAGTGGATGTGTTTGAATTTAACTCATAGTGTTTCTCAGCTCACACTTGAATAAAAGGCTTTAGTCTAATGTGTGAGGATGTTTTGAATGAATATGCTTTGTTTTGCTTTACCTGGTTTTTTAAAAGTCATCGCTTTACAGCTGGAGCATAGTGAAAATGGACAGTGAGCAAGATCAGCAGCTGAAGTCTTTACTTAGCGGTTGTTTAATGTTATTCCTGCTTGCATTTTGATGATAGTTGGAATGGTAACAAAACCAGCAAGTGAGCAGTCCCAGGACTTTTCAATACACAATGAAGATTTTCCAGCATTACCAGGCTCCAGCTACAAAGACCCAACATCAAGTAATGATGACAATAAATCTGTAAGTAAACCTTTAATCTTCTCTTAGTGTTCATACTTCTTTTGATGATTATATTTTAAAATGGGCAGTGACTATATCTGTAATACAAGATTTTCAAATTTGCCCCTCTAAATTAGTGAGAGATTTAGCATAAGCAGCATGGAATTTCTCAGGAAGTTTTTTGGTCCAAACAGTCACTGTGACCCTACTTGGACACCTCAAAATTTATTTTTGAGAATTGGTATATATTTTTCAAGTTTGCAATTCATAATTTCTTTTTCTGTCAGTTGCAGCTCATTTTTTGCTGTTGATGCCTCTCATCAGTGGTAGTAATTTACACATTATAATTTCTTTCTTCAAATTTGTCAAATCTTTTGAAAGTTAGGTGGTACAATATCAATTCAAGGTAAAAATCTTAACGGAGATGTGAAATCAAAGGGAACAAGCTCTTTTAATAGAGATCATTCATGGCTATATTGTAGACTAGTGGGATACATTGTATCTTAAGTATTGGTATAATTATAATGAGTTAGGTATGTAGCTTAGTTCATAAAATTATGGGCTTTTCTTTGTTGTTTGAAAGATTTGTAATAAAAGTTACTATTTTATTGAAAATGAAACATGAACAAAATGTGGATGGCAGAGGACAGTTTTTCACAGTTTTTGACAGAATGTTCTAGTTTCTGATTGTTTTATTCTAATTGCAAAAAATGTGTTAATGAGGGTGGCATAAATACTGATGAATAAATAGTAGACATGACTAAAAACTCACGTGAGAACTAAAAAATGCAACTTTTCAAAAAAAGGGGCAGTAGGAAGCCTGGCCCCCAAATGTTGTGGCCAATTTCGTTGTGAGGAAAATGTTCTGATATGGTTTGCATTGAGTAAGGAGAGAGGGAGTAAATGCGACTCTGTTACTGTAAACTTGTTCTAAAGATTAATAAAGAGTGAGAAATAATGGATATGGCAAATTCTTTTGTCAGTATGTGAGTTCCTAGAGCCCAGTCAGTTTTCTTGCCAGACATAGTGTTTACATGTCTTTCCTGATAGTTACAAATGTGCTTACTGTATGTTGCTTGCACCTGAAATTGGCTTATTATCTGTTGCTATGTCATGGAGTGTTATAAAGGAGCAAGACTGGGGGGAAAAGTACACGATGTGGGTGAGTCCAAAAGAAACTCTAGTCACAGGCACTTGGGATATCCAAATCAGGTGTAAAATACTTCCTTATCCTTTTAAACTGCAAACTGTTAGCCTGTTAATAGCACTTACTGTATGATGGGTATGCTTTAGGAAGGAAGTAGTAAACACTACATAAGGTTTGTCAACAGAACTCAGGAGCTTCAGCTTGGAGCCATTTATTAGAGTGACTTGATGTGCTGGCTTAGAGTGCTTGACTGAAAGATATGCTCTGTGAATTTTTGCATTTTGGTTTGTTTCCATCATACCAACTCTGCAAATTATTTTTAATAGAATTTGAGTACATCAGGCAAAACATCATCCAGCACAGATGGGCCCAAGTTTCCTGGAGATAAAAGTTCAACTACGCAAAACAACAACCAGCAGAAAAAAGGGATCCAGGTGTTACCTGATGGTACGTGTCATTTCACTTTTTCTTCTTTAAAAGTTTTGACAGTCTTTTAGATCCCCTTGTCAAATTCTCCACTTCTTAAAAGGAGAAAATTAATTTGTTCTTCTTGCCCAGGTCGGGTTACCAACATTCCTCAAGGGATGGTGACGGACCAGTTTGGAATGATTGGCTTGTTAACATTCATCAGGGCAGCAGAGACAGATCCAGGAATGGTACATCTTGCATTAGGAAGTGATTTAACAACACTAGGTCTCAATCTCAACTCTCCTGAGTAAGTTTCTGGGTTTTAATACTGTCTTCAGTTTTGGTTTTGTTATGCTGTCATTCATAGTACATTCACTTAGCTCGCTTGACTATCAAACCCACAAGGTATTTTGCCAAATAAAATTCGAAAATATAATGATGGTAAAATAAAATTTTTGTAAAGAAGAGAATTGTGCTTCAAGCATACTGAAATCCTGTTATGCAAGCTTTCAATAAACCCAATGACTTTGCTTATTCTCCTAACTTCTTTAGGACTTTCTTCAAGGAATTGACAGCATATTGTTTATAAATGTCATGTATACATTACTTTTCAAATAATAATATTTCCTGGGGATATCTACACTTAATTCTCAGCAATCTGGGGGATAAATTCGATTTAGTGTAATAATGAACAGAGCACCTGCAGTGTTACACTGCACAGGAGATAAATGTAAATGAAAATGTAGTTTTATAGTTAACTTCTAGTCAGTCAGTTCACCTAGGTGAACTAGTTTATTCATCTAGGTTTGCTATAGAGACAGTGGGGAGAAAAGAAGTTAGTGACTGCATTAAAGGTAAGAGAAGTGTTTAAGACAGGTGAGATGAATAACCAACCAACCCAGGGTGCCTCTCTTTCTCCACTAGTTACAGAAGGAACTTAGTGCAGTTTGGACAAGACTGGTGTCTTCTAGGAACTGTAATTGTGAGAGAAATTTAATTTCTGGTGCTCTGACTTTCAGCTGACAGTCTCACACCATTTTATTCCAGCAGAGATTTACATAGCATTAGTCTTATAGACAGAGTAATAAACGTATTTTAAGGTTTGCACAAAGTGTATTAAAAAAACAAAGACCAGACACAAATTTATATGGAGCTGCGTATAATCATGGAAACTTGATGAATGTGGATATCAAGCATAGGAGAAATGGTTCCTTATTTTTTAGCAGTTGTGCTGTAAATAGCTGGATTTTTAACATTCTTAATATTTAATTACTGTATAGAGTATTTAGGTTCTTGAATGGAGAGCATAGAGTTAATGTTTAATCCAGTTCTGTATTATAAAGTTGGTTTTACTTTATGCTACTGAAAAGCTTTGTGAACAGCCCATGCAGTCCTCCATGTCTGGCCTGCGATCTTGCCTTATGTTAAACGTTCTTTGCTCTGTGAATTGTTGTTTGAAAAACTAAAAACAGTTCACATATGAAAAGACAAATTTTTCTGTCCTGTGAGGTACTTATGATGGTAAAAATACCTGTCTGACTTGAAAATACAACACAACAAGTGTGCTTTTGAAAACAAAATTTAAGAATTCTGTGTGTATTTCTAGTGGTTTAAATTAACTCTTCTAATTCCTGTTCAGAAGAAGAGTAAAATCTTTACTGGTTAGTTTTAAAAAAACAACCTTCCAGTATGAGCTTCTGCTCCCCTTTGAAATCATAGGCTAATAAATCAGAACCCACCAGGCTTGTGACAGCTGCTCCTAGTCAAATTGAAACCCTTTATAATATTGGATACCTGAAAAAGGGATCTCTGACACTTAAATTTCCTAAGAAGGAAAGATAAAGGAAATCTTGGCTCTGTAGTTTCCTATGGCAGTTTAAATGCAACTTTACTCTGAATATTAAAAAGAAAATTAATAAATATAACTGTTTTAGGAAATTTTCCTCCTTTTTTTCTCACCCCAGCTAGTGATTTGGTTGTGTGATAGTTTTTAGGTTTTCAAGGTTGTTTATGGTGCCTGGTTTGTTTTTTTTTTTAAGTCGGTTGGTTTGGGGTTTAATTTTTATAAATTTATGCTTTTCTTTTTCTTCAGAAATCTTTATCCCAAATTTGCTTCCCCCTGGGCATCATCACCTTGTCGACCTCAAGACATAGGTAAGAGAGAAATAACTATTTAAATCAGTATTAGTATTTGCAAATTACATTCATTTACATGTCTTAATAGTTGCATCAATTCCGATTCTTTTTTAGACTTCCATGTTCCATCTGAATACTTAACTAACATTCACATTAGGGATAAGGTGAGTACATGTGTGTATATGTGTGTATGTGTGCATTTTTTGTTACTTTATTACCAGAAATTTTCTAAATTTTCTTTCATATAGGTAATGTTTGAAATCAGTGCGTTTTATGGATCTCCTCAGTCTTTCTAGGAGCAGTGGTGTGTTAACAGGCTGATTGGACACATCAAGCACGCATTATACCTTACAAAAAGAGAATGGGCATGCAAAAGAATAGCAAAAGAGCACAGTATGTTTTTAAGAGTTTGCCCTTCTCACAAACGTTAGGATTCTTATGGTGTTATTAAAATGCCAAATTAATTAAATGGAGGTATTTCTTCTTGAGATGAGTTCAAAATTGTGGTTCTCACATTTATCTGTTCATTCTGTATCTACATGAATAGGGATTTTTGATATATATTTTCTTTCAACTGTTGTCTAAGAGGGATCTTTGAAAAATAGTGTAAGAAATTTTAGTAATATTACTTAATAGAGTGTGAAGTGAGCAAATACATACAGAAGTTGTTCTGTTGGGTTTTTTCAAATAAAATAAGTAGATGAGGATACACACAGATACAGGGAGAAAATTCTGTCTTGCTGATTTGTTACGTCTGTTTATTTTTCTGTTGTATCCTTTAAGTTGGAAAGGTTAACTAAAAGTGAAGAAAAATTGATTGTTTTAGTAATTATTACTGTTGTTATATTAGAGTATCATTTTCAACACACTTAGGATGGAAGCACATTCTGGATGTATCCTGGTGTTATTTAAGTGGGATAGTATGTTTTAAAACATTTATCTATTGTGATTTTTCATCCTCATTTTCTTCAATCTTTTGCAGCTGGCTGCAATAAAACTTGGCCGATATGGAGAAGATCTCCTGTTTTATCTCTATTACATGAATGGAGGAGATGTATTACAGCTATTAGCAGCAGTAGAGCTGTACGTTCAAACTATTTTGTCAGTCTTATATGAGTTAATCTATTGCAGTAATGAAGTAGTAGATGTAAAAAAAAAAAAAAAACACACCCCAACAAGTTAGACATTGAAGGAAAGAGGCTTAGTCAGTCTTGAACTGGAAACCTTTTTTTAAAATACCTCCTCCAACCTTGTTTTCATATGGGGTTTTTTCATTCATATGGTGGAAATCAAAAGCCTGTCCCATGTATTTTGCGTTATGAAGCACTGTGAAAAAATGGCAAGTGCCAATCATTATTAAGTGTGTAACTTACCTATCTTCAGCAAAACAAAAACCAGTAAATACTCCTAAAAAGAGTTTGTTGTTTGAAACTATCAGACTCCTTAAAGTTTCATGTGTTTAGTTTGAGGTGTAATAATTTTATGGAAGAGGTATGAAATCACAGGTATAATAACAACATCATAGAAGTTTTGTATTGGATTTGAATGCAATGCACAATATTGATTGAAACCTTTAAAATTAGTTTATTATGTCGATTTCAGATAACTAACACTTAAAAATTATTTTTCCTTCCTATTAAAAATGAAAGATTTAACAGAGATTGGAGATACCACAAAGAAGAACGAGTATGGATCACCAGGGCACCGGGCATGGAGCCAACAATGAAAACCAATACGTACGAGAGGGGAACATATTACTTCTTTGACTGTCTTAACTGGAGGAAAGTAGCTAAGGTATCTCTTTTCCCTTGTGCAGATGTTTTAAATCTGTCAACCATGTATTTTTAGAAAGACAAAATTAAAACACAACCTTCTCCACAAAAATCTCAAACTTTTTAACCTCCTGTTGTTCATGATCCTAATTTCTGATGTGTGAGGGAATAAAGGTTGCCTAAAACACTCACTTGCTTGTGCAAAATAAGGAGCTGTCTCTCTTATTTCCAGTTTTCTTTGGAAGGTAGAAGGACATAGAACTTCTATTATGAGTTTTGTTATAATTGAAAGCTCTTTCCATGTACACAGTTATAGAATGGAAAGCATTATTTGGCATTTTAAAAATTGTGCTTATGAACACTTTATTATTGCTTTGGAAAATTAAATAGGATGCTACCACACCTTACTTTGGAATTAATAATGGATGTAGAATGGGTGTGGGGAATGCTTTTTTTGTCTTCGGGTACTGTCTCTCTTTGACCATACTACAGGACATCCATGCTGTTGTCTAACATCAGAGTTATTATTTCAAAGAACTTCTTTTAAGGGGGAGGCATATTTTCATGATGCTTGTTTTCTATATTGTAGACCAAAGCATTAAAAAAATCAGAAAGCTACAGCTTTTTCCGTTCCTAACTCTCGTAATCTATTTATCCCATTCTGGCCATGAATATTCTCAGTAATGTTCTGTGTCAGACCATCTGTAGGTACAGTATCACATCTAACAGATCAGATCAGACCAACTCAACAGATGTAATTCCAGCACGTAGGAAATATATTCTGTGGTTCCACATGCTTAGGTATTTAATAAAATCAGAAATCTTTTCACCTGCGGCATAACTTATGAATTGTTTGCTGAAAAGCTGTGAGCAAGTTGTATCTATACACTTGGAGATTATGAAACATTGCTTTAAATAGTTACATATATGTGTTGATCTGTTTTTAAACATCCGTTTTAAAGAGAATAAAGTTGAGTGTTCTCCTCTATGTATATTTGCCATCATCTTGACATTAACTAGATATAATTCAATTTTTTTCTCTTCTCCCCCCCAAATTTGCTTAGTTTGTGCAAGCTCCCCTCAGAAATCAACGTTTTTAGTTTCCCTAAAGGATATGGGAGGTTCTTCAGTCCAATTGCATGTGTGACTCCTTGTCTCTTCTGCCTTTCTGCTGCCATAAGAAAACCTTTGTAACTGAAGATTTTAATGGCAAACCCTAGGTGTATGGTTTTTTTTAAGTGCAAGGTAATTCCAAAACTTTTAAGCAAAAACATCACTCCCCTCAAACGAAAACACGAACAAAATGAAAGTTTTTGTTTCTACTGAAATTGTTATTTGCTGCTTGGTATACTTCCTTAGGTTCCCCAAGATGCTATTTAAAGCTATTTTATTATTACATAAGATCATCAGAGGGGAAGTAATAACCTTTTGAAAGGATAGCTTTCTTTTTTGGAGTCACCTGAATATATTCCACTTATTTATGAGCATTAAGAGCCTCATGTAGTTTCATATATCAATAGAATTGCGTTTTTAGCCTGCATGAAAACACAACATTTCTTTTACTAGGAGGAAGTGGTGCCCATTTTATAAGAAAAGTAACCTCTTCAGTGTCTATTCTTTTCCTGCCTGTTCCAAATGTATAAATCTGCTACTTGATGCTTTAGCATAACTTTTGAAGATAGTATTGTCTCTCTTTGGAATCCCGAGTGCTGTGCTGAAACTCAGCATCCAGTCCTTGAGTGATGCACACTACATCCTTCTGTTAGCATTCCTGCAGACAGCGTGCTGAAAGGGAGATAGGAATCACTACTGTTCTATGAATGGTTTTTCCCAAGGTCTACATAGTTTCTCTTCTCTTTATTTGCATGCTGAAAATAATTCCCCCAATGTTAAGAAGCTGTTGATAGCTAGTAAGGGGAGAGTATTTTCTAAAATTTTGCACCTGCAGTGGTAATTTAACCAGGAACATGATTATTTTATTTATTTCCCCCCCAATGTCCATAGGACGCAATAATATCTTTTCTTTTAGGCTGGCTTATTTCTTAATGTAAAAATTTGAACTGGAATATTATTTTGAAATTTTTATTTAACTTTGATTTGTTTTGCACATGGTTATGTGCAAAATACAGCAGGCAAATTGAGTATTGATCACAGGAAGACAGAGAATGATTTTGGGGAACATTGTGGTTTTTTGTTACATGGAAAAGGAATTGCATACTAGAAGTTATTCTGTGACATTTCTGTCTATGATAAATAAATAAGAACTTAGATGTATGTCAAGTGTGATATTAACGTTCAGTGGTGATGTTGTTACTTCTGGTATTAATTTCTGGAATTTGAGGAAGACTAATGTAGACTTACCATAACAAGAACAGCAGTATTTGATAACTGTGTTGCTTTGAATACAAAGAAAAGTATGGCTAAGTAATTTTTTTCTAACAAACACAGAAGTAATTAATAAATGTTTCAGGAAGTGAAACCTGTAAGGAACTGGAGAAGAAAAAAGGAATTATGATAAATTGCAGTCTCTTACTGTAACTGCTACGTTATTAGTGAAGGCTGGGTATATCGGTTCCTTAGAAGTCCACAATAGTACTTACTGCTTAAGAGTTCCATTAGTCCTTCTTTGAAGCAGTCAGACAGGAATAATTTCTGGTAAATTGCTGTCTCTTTTGTGTGCATATTCAGTTGTTTTTCAAGGTGCTTTATAAATTTGTCTGTTGTTCCTGTGTATATGCTCAAATATAGGGCAGCACATATTCTAATGTATTGTACTTGGCAGACATTGCTTGCAGACATTTGCAGATGTGCATTATGAGCTTATGTATTTATTGTCTCTGTTTTAAATTATGATGCAGTATGATAGATACAGTGAAATACAGCCGTTTAGATAATGTGACTAAATCGTAGGACTAAATTTGTAAAATCATAACCCAGTCATGATTTAATAGATTTTTTGATAGTGTCCTACATTGATTTTAACAAAAGTAAAGAAGGATGAACGAATTCTTTCAAGAAAACATCAAATAATGTATTTATCTTTTTTATTAAACTGTAGGCTCTATTTTTATATTCCTAATCGATAATAAACTGAAGAAGGAAATGTGGTAAAGTAGCTGAGTAATAAGAATTCCTAAACTGTTAGGAAATAAAATCAAATGGATTCTGTTTTGACATATTGGTATTAAATAGTGAAGAAAAAATAAATGACAATAAACTTCAAATTCACCTTAAATGCAAACTAAAATGCAGGAGAATCTGATTATAGATATGTCTATATATGGTTTTCATCCTAGGGCACATGAAAAATACACTGAGGTTAAAGACACTGATTTTTTCACTTAAGTTTTGGCTATAGTTTGCTGCTATTGAGGAGACATGAGAAGGGAAGTAGATATGACACCAGAAGTGCTTTCGACAATTGCACATTTACTGAAATCCTGATTTAAGTTGTCTCAGTAAGGAGACTTAATCTGTTTAAGGAACAAAATTATAAGACCTTTTTACTTTGATTTTGTACTTATAGAACATGGAATCTTTATGGGACAGAAAGTTAAGATTTCCAAGTGTTTATTTACTTGTCAGGGTTGCTGTCTGTGTTAAATTACTCCCTATTCTCATAAGATCAATATTAATTGAAGTAGTTTCATAATTACTAGAAAGTTAATTTCTTATTCTGATAGAGATGTGCCATAGCATTTCAGTTCAGCCCCTAATTTTAATTAGGGTCTTTGCATCCATCTTTAAGTCAGTATAAATGCTACTTTTAAGTTCCATTTGGAATTCTCGAGCTAGCTGTGGGATTTCTACCTTCTGCTCTGATGGATTTACATAGTCCAGAATATTTTATCCTCAGGGGCACTACCTATTCTGCTAACTTTTTTGTTTTGTTGTACTCTATTAATGCTTAAGATGATTCTAAGCAATCCTCTTCTGTCTTAAGTATCCTGTTTGTACATGTGTGGGCTGATGTAACTTTACCATCAAAGCAAGTTCCTAGGATGATGTGAGAAGTGGTTATTTTCTTTGCATAGAACAATTTATTTAGTGTCACACATGTGCTATAAGTTTTCACACACATATAGTATTTATTATTCTTGGTTAATAAACAGTATCTAAGTTTTAATTACCTCCATGTGGAAAATAAAACAATTTAACACATTTATCAATGGATAAATGGTATTTTTTACATTTTATTTGTATCTGTTTATATTAAAAAGTATCTACTGTTGACATCCTAAACCACAGTTGCAAAAACAAAACCATAAAGTATACCTGTAATACAAGTATTTTCCTATATGTAATAAATAATTGCCTTTTAGTTTTCAAAACTTCTTGGTCAATGAGTTCTCTTTTTTGTTTTGTCAAATAAAACTTTAGGTGTTCTTATACACTACTGAATATTGAATTTGAGAATTGCTGATACTGCAGTGCAAATCAAAAAGGGTGTTTTAAGCCTGTTTCTTTTAGCAATCGATGATAGTTTGAAGTGTGAACTCACATGCTTCTAAAGAAAATTTGGTAGGGAATCATACTCCTCCTTCTGAATGAAGGACATCAATTTGTGGGACAAAGGGTTGCTCAAGCTACTGAGCATTTATTCCAGACACACCTTGTTTGCAGCTACCACTGCCAATAGAGGCTCACAACAGCTTTGGATTTGGAAACCCCTTTTTTAGGGTACTGATACTTACTGTATCTTATTAGTCTCATTAGCAGTTTTCCATGGGCAATTTTGAAGGCATTTCAGACAGAGCTTGTGGAGGTTCAGTTATCTGATTGAAGCTGACCATAGATTGATAGTAATCTGCAGGCCTTTCCATGATTATGTGCAAGATAGAAACTTTGACAACCGTGAATGGGAGAGAAAGCTTGGGTAGTATCCTTTCTATTATAAAATGGTTGCGGAATTACTGAAGATCATAGAATCATAGAATAGTTTGGATTGGAAGGGACCTTAAAGACCGTATAGTTCCAACCCCTCTGCTGTGGGCAGGGACACCTTCCACTAGACCAGGTTGCTCAAAGCCTCATCCAACCTGGCCTTGAACACTTCCAGGGATGGGGCATCCAGAACCTGTATGAACAACCTGTTCCAGTGCCTCACCAACTTTACAGTAAAGAATTTATTCCTAATACCTAATCTAAATCCTACCATTCTTGATCTTAAAGCCATTCCCCCTTCTCCTATAACTATGCGCCCGTGCAAAAAGTCTCTCTCCAGCCTTCCTGTAGGTCCCATAAGATCCACCCAACCTAATCTAGCCCAACCTAATCTAGGCTATCTAGCCTTTGACGCTAAAATACATACACAGAGTTGTACACCTTCATCTTGCTTCTGACCCAAGGAGGGAGCAGGCATCTATTCAGTCTCAGCACATGTATGTATCTGCACAAAAAGAGAACACACACAATTTGGCATGCAGTTTTAATTAGGAATGCCGAAAGCAATTCACTTCTGCCTGTATTACCTAAAAAGTCAAAACAAACAAACCCATCACCCAAATAAATAAATAAATAACTCCAAAAAACCCCAACCAAACAAAAAACCCCTAAAAACTTGTTTGGAGTAGAGAGCAGGGAACCAACACTTCAGTGCAGATGTTCGTAACCTTACATAGGTATTGCTATAGTTTTCCAGTTTTAGGGATAGTATTCTCAAGGGAATATAGAATGCTTCACATTTACCTCTACTTTGTTTTTCTACTATGGTGAATGTTCTTTTTATGCTAAATGGACCTTGTTCTGCCTTGAAAGAAGAGAGGTCTGCGAGTTGGAGTTTCTAGATTTTATTTCTGTTGTTGAATTGACTTGGTCCTTAATTTAATTTGTACTGAAATATTATAGTATTTAATCACTTCAGAGAGTGTTCTAAAATAATCTGTCATTACTCTCAGTATTTTCTCTATATGTAAAAATAGTGGGGCAAGTTTGCTCTACAGATAAGAGATGATGTTCTGCTGAGATTCTCCACCGATTTAGGCAAAATAAATTAACTGTACATGTCCAAGGTAACTTTTGTTGAATTACCAAGCACTACCATTAAAGAGCAGTTCTGAAACTTCTGCTTACCCTGTTTCTTGAATGAAAATGAAATAGAGATGAGGCATAGTTATGCTGCTGAAAGTATCTGAAAAATACAAGATTTCAGGTTTGCTGAGTCTGGAGCTTAGATATGAGTATGAAACATGGTGAAATATTTTGATAAATTCTGACTTTAGTAGGTCTCAGTACTTTGTCTCTAGCATTTTAGATAGTGTTCCCAAAGGAGAAACTTAGCTAGTTTAACTTACGATTTCACAGAATCACAGAACCATTTAGGTTGGAAAAGACCTCTTCGGATCAAATCCAGCCTTTGACTGATCACCACTATGTCAGCTAGACCATGGCACATGCAGTTGTTTCTTGAGCACCTTTAGGGGTGGTGACTCCACCACCTCCATGGGCAGTCTGTTCCAGTGCTTAATATCCCTTTCCCAAAATCCAGCCTGAACCATCCCTGGCACAGCTTGAGACCATTTGGTCTGGTAGTATGACACAAACTATTCTTAAACTTCAGTTCATCCAAACTAAGCCTCTGTACTCCTGACATGTTGAAAGACAGAAGCTTTTGTTCATAATTCAGCTCATGCTGTGATTGCATATTTGTGTTTTGTGTCTGTGCATATATAAAATTGTTTGAGATCATGATGAGGGTTTTGAGGGTCATGCAGCATTTAAAGAATAGGAGAGCCTACGTGTTGCAGGTATAATGGCTTAGGATAGTTATGATTGACTGCTTTTTTCTACTTAAAATATGGAATCCAAGATAGCAAAATCATGTGTTTCTACCTTAGGATAAGTTTGTGCTTGATCTCCTCTGTATTTGTGCTTTTCAAGTATGGCTGGTAGAAAGACCAGGTCTCAACAAGTAAATGATATGTCATTTGGTTTTGTCTTTTTTTTTTAACTGTAGGAGTTCCATCTGGAATATGACAAACTAGAAGAAAGGCCTCATCTGCCATCAACCTTCAACTACAACCCTGCTCAGCAAGCCTTCTAAAGACTTCCCTTTTCTTGGGGTATGGCTGTCTCAGCACAATACTCAACATAACTGCAGAACTGATGTGGCTCAGGCATCCTGGTTTTAATTCCTTGAGGATCTGGCAATTGGCTCATGCGAAGGGTCACCATTTGAGGTCCTGCCTTACTAATTATGTGCTGCCCAACAACTAAATTTGTAATTGTTTTTCTTTAGTTTGAGCAGGGTCTGAATTTTTGTTTTTGTTTTCTTTTTTGCCAGCAGACAAGCTTGGGTCTGTAAAGACAAGCGAGTACACTGACAAAAGTTTACCACTTAGTTTTCCAAAATGTAAAAACAAAAAAAAAGAAAAAAGACAAAAAATTAGACAACAAAATTTGCATTGTTCATTGTAGCACTATTGGTAATAAAAACTGTTTGTGCATTTTTATGTGAAGATCCTTCTCGTATTTCATTTGGAAAGATGAGCAAGGTTTGCTTCCTTCATTTTACTTCCCCTTCTGTTTTTGAAAGGCAGTTTTCGCCAAGCTTAATGCAAGAATATCTGACTGTTTAGAAGAACGATATTGCCACAGTCTCTGGTTAGTTTCCAGAGTTGTGTATTACTGAGCTTCATCTTTCCAGAATGAGCAAAACACTGTCCAGTCTTTGTTACGATTTTGTAATAAATGTGTACATTTTTTTTAAATTTTTGGACATCACATGAATAAAGGTATGTATGTACGAATGTGTATATATTATATATATGACATCTATTTTGGAAAATGTTTGCCCTGCTGTACCTCATTTTTAGGAGGTGTGCATGGATGCAATATATGAAAACGGGACATTCTGGAACTGCTGGTCAGGGGACTACTTTGTCGCCCTGTGCACTAAAGGGCCAGATTTTCAGCAGCCAAGGACATCCATACCCAAGTGAATGTGATGGGACTTAAAGAAGTGAACTGAGACAATTCACTCTGGCTGTTTGAACAGCAGCGTTTCATAGGAAGAGAAAAAAAAAAAGATCAATCTTGTATTTTCTGACCACATAAAGGCTTCTTCTCTTTGTAATAAAGTAGAAAAGCTCTCCTCACTGCAGTGTTGACTTTGATTTGAGATTGTGAAATTATTTCTTCAACAATGAAAAATGGAAAAAAATTGAAGTATTAAAACTATCAAACTGTACAGTGGTTAAGACACTTGAAGAGTCTTTTTGCTGCTGACAAGTAAATTTATGAGAGTTTTATATTCTTTTCCACAGCCAAAAAGTTTGGTTAACTTTCGTTTCAGATCCCTTCTCTATAATAGCAAATAATTTTTCGAAAGACGGGTGGGGTAACACGTCAAAGGATAGAAAGATGCTTCAAGAATTCATCACAGAAGGAACACTTTGAAGAAGCTTGGGTTAGAACTGAGCTCAGCTTAGTTCCATGTTGGTGTTTTCCCACTTAAAACAGAAATACATTTCATTTGATGTTCACTGCTACTTGAACTTCCAGATGCTAACAAACATAAATATACATTTGTTCTGAAAATTATAACTGTTCTCTAGAGCAGAGCAAGAAAAACCTGAACTGTTTGGATAGTTTTCTTTTTCTAGATACGATTGCCATTTCTGATTGAGTTGCCTCTGGCCGTGCAGACCATTTCAAAATACCTGAAATTACCAAAGCAAGAAAAGACACGTCAGTGAATCATGGGGGTTTGTCTTAACGTTTTGACCCATTTTTCTGTGTAGTGCAAAAGCAGCTTGTTGTCATGTGTTGAATTATGCTTGGAAATCGGACCATTAATGGCCTTGCTGTGGTTCTGTGTCAGGTGTATGGCATTTTAAATTCTGCACTTTTTCTAATCTCTATTTTAAGATGGTAGACATAAAAATATAAGCCTGTTGATTTTATTTTTTTCCTATTATTAAAGAAAACTTTTCTCAACTTGAAAGAAGAGGATGATTATAATCCATATGATGGCTAACACAGCTGAAAAAAGATGGTGGCTTTTTCTTTTTCTCAAACTAAAGCATATCTTTGATTATTCAAACATAAATTTATGAATTTTCAAAAGGATAATTTTCCAAAAGCATCTTATTCCCTCCACACTTAATGTTATGTTTTTTATTGTTGGCTGTCCACTGTGAACTTTGCTTTTTTTTTTCTTAAGGATTCCTGAAGTGGTGTTTGCATCTTCAGATCAAATGTGATTATTTTTTATTATATGGGTTTGGGGGTTTTTTAATGTGATTTTTCATTGGCCTAACCAGTCTCATGGAAATAAACAACATATGGGAAAGGGAGCAAAATAAGTTACATTAAAATACTAAGTATCTATGGTACTTTAAAAACAGTTAAAATGGAACTGTGAACCTAAGTTATCAAAAAATATATTTGATGATACAGTTGTATTCAACTCCACAATCTTTCAAAAGTGTGAGATGCATGATTTTAGGATACTTCTCACCTATGAGCAAGGAACTGCTACTTTGCTTCTTTCAAGGGGAAAAACAGTCTGGCTTTTTTTGTCGATTCAGTAAGCATATATGGAGACTTTAAAACTTAAGACTTAATTTCATATTACACTCTGGGTTGAAGCAAGAGAAAGAGGTCTAAACAGGAAAAAAGGTGTAAAATTGGAACCATTTTTAGCTGATATCGTATTAATTTAAAAAATTGGAAGAAAAATCGATACTACTTTTTTTTCCCAAAAGGAAAAAACCTCAGCCCTCATTTATACACTCACACATGTAGCAAATGGGCAACTGAATTGACCGAGAGATTTCCAAACCAACAATTAAGGTCTGAGGCTTGTTTAATGTATTTTTACATTCCATTAGCACTATGAATAGGCAGATAATAGTATGCGGTTCTAAAAATACCTTTATTTTTGGTGGGTGTTTTTCCCCATAAATATAGCTTTGTACAACAACATGCAAGGTAAGTTCTGAGTAGTAAACTGGGTGCACTTTGAACCAAGAAGTATTCCTATTTCTGGTTTGTTCAACACACGCTCGCAGTCATCGCTCCATGTTGCGTGTTGTTCATAAATCTTTATTGAGTAGTTGGCTCCAGTTTCTCTGCAAATCCACTACCCTCAATTTCCAGGATTAAAATGGGTTTCACCAACTCGATTACCCCTACTGTTGCAAAAAACACTTCTTATTTTAAATTATTACTCAAACCATCCTGCTTGTGGAAAAATCAAGGGTACCAAAGAGTCATGGAGGAAGGAGTTAAGGATGCTCCACTGAGGTGTTAAAAACTGAACAAACAAAAAAGCCACCCAGGACTCAAATCTCTTCCACCTTCATACCTGGTGCCACAAATGCTTAAGCACGTGAGAACCTTCATGGGCTTGATTAACCTAATTGAAGACCCAAGTAATCCAGGGAAGCCAGCAGATATATGGGTAAAAATATTTTTCATTTGATTGTGACCTCCAATGAAGTGTTGACTGTACATGTGTTGGGATTCACAACCACACCACTCCCTCATGATATGACCTCTACGCAGAACAAAGATGTATAATCATATCACTTTGCTCCTTGTCATGTCTGAAATCCTCTCTGTCCCCAAGCCAGTATTTTTTGAACTTGTCTGTTTCCATTTTACAGTTTCCATGAAAAAAATACCAAGAATGTACCCAAAATAAGAACTTGCGCATTGTAGTCAGATGAAAAATTTTCTGCAGTGTTAAGAGACTCTTTCTGTTGACTGTAAAGAGACCAGAAAGCAGTCTTTGGCACAACCTAGGCGGCACTGGGAGACATAGAGGTCTGTGAGGCCGTCGCTCGATCCTGCGTGGCTTGTAGGTGGCCACTGCTATGGAAGAAGCTGTACAGCGTCTAAATAATATTGTTTAAAGATACTTGTCACCTAGAAGGACCTTTTTTGTTTGTTTTTTTTTTTCTGATTGAAAATACTTCCATAGCTGGATATTAAGTGAAACAAAAGAGAAAATTTGATTGCTATCACACTCAAGAAAAGCTTCTAAATGCACAATTGTCATCCTAAGCATGAGGTAGCTTTTGGTTTAGGATCCTAAATATAACAATTGCTTCTATTAAAGCACAATGTCTGAGTGTTCTTAGTTTTCAAATACCCTTTCATCTGTCACTGCCCATAATTTATGCTAGTAGAATTTGAATTCTGGTAAAGAATGCAGATTGGACTAAGCAGTTAGTGTGGGTTGACAGCTGATGCTTTTATTTTCATATATAGTATGAGAACTGAAAAGGTGTAACTGCTTTTGTTTCTGTCTTATGAGCATGCATGCTGTCATTTCCGTAGATCTGAAAGCTTCCAATACATTGAAAAGACTTGAGGAAATGTAGCTGGATAACTTATCTTGAAATTCTGGCTTTAATTGCTTCAGTAGGTTTACCTCTTAAAAACCACTTTACTGTTAGAGGCAAACTTTTTTTTTTTTAAAGTAATGTTAAAGCACATTGAACGATAGTTTTGAATATTAATGATTCAACTCACTTCTGGATTAGCAGCGCTAACCAAGTTTGTGTATTATTTTTCTAGACTTCAGTTTATCGTTTGCATTTCATATTCTCTTGTTGGTATTAATGTGCCAATATTGGATGTGGGTATATGTCAGGTTTTTCCTGCTGATACTGGCAAAATACTTTTCTGAAAAATCACTTATTTGAACTCACTGTGGTGTAACAAACAATCCAGAGAAGTAGTCAGTTTTCATGGTTGGACCATCCTGCATCGCCTGTAAACAGTCCTGATGAGGTGTGAAAGGAAGGCAGGCATCCTGAAGCTGCTGTGATGCAGACGTCGATGACCCTCTGTGGAAACCCCTCAGCATTCTCTACATCTCTTCTTCTGGACAAAAGGGCTGGTTTGGTTGTTCCAAATTATCTCCCTCCCTTGGAAGGCCCATTTACTTTGTGGTGGGCATCACAGCATTGGTTTCAAAAAGGCATTTTGTTATTATACATAAAGACATTTGCTGTTGGATAGGCAGTTCGTTTCTGGCACTTTCATGGAAGAGGTATGATCAATGTCATGAGAAGCACTGCTAGGCTTCTGCAAGGAAACGGAGGTGCGAGCCCAATCCCAGCAATGGGCCCTGTGGGTGTGTGGTGGCAGAGCCCCAGCACGGGCTGCCCAGCCTCAAGGTACATGACCACAGTAGAGGCATTCTCAGCACAGCTGTACCAGGTGAGTCATCTGCAGTTGGCCACAGGTAAGACTGTCCCTTGGTTGTGGGGCAAGGAAGGGCCAAAAAAGCAGATAGCAACCTATTTTCCTGCTGTTGGGAATTTCATGCAGACATTTAACTTCATATGGCAGCTTTTTCAGCCCTGGCAGCTCGTTATGCCCATGGTCCCGGAGCCAGCATCCTGACTCTTGTCCTCAGCAGGTGACAGTAGAGCTAAAATCTTTACAACAGGCCCCTACTACCCAGCTTTACTCTCTTACAAATCAGGCATTAGTGATCATTTTTCACTTCCAGCGGATCCAAATAGACTTTGAGACCTGACTGAGTCATTTATGCAGAACTTCAAAATCTATGAGATCACCTGGTGAATATTCAGCACCATTCCCAGTTAAAATATAGACTCAGCATCTCCTCCAGCTGTAGATGATGTAGGGGTTGGATGCACACAGGAGGACTAACTCCAGATTGCTGTGTCACCCAGTGATCTGTTGCCTTCATTTTCATCTGACAGTGCTTTATGTACATCTGATTACAGGGAGCTGAATGGAGTACTGAAGGCCAGCTGCTCAGAAGGTGAGACAGACAAGAAGCCACAGTCCATCTACACTGGGAAAGCAGGGCTGGAGCTTCCTTTTTCAGGTGGTGACAAATCGACCTCATTAAAATTTTATTTTTTATACTATGAAAGCTATATGCAACAAGCCCCATCATTAGAGACTGCTGTCACCACAAGTGCTGGCAGCAAAGCCTGACTTACGGGAATGGATGAACAGAGCCAAGAACTAATCGAGATGAGTTCAGTTTCTCGTATAAACACCTCCTGCAGGTTTAAGTAAAGAAAAAAATCCCAGGCTAAGAGCTGGCATAGTATTTCAGAAACCCATTGGTATCAGGGCAGGCTGCTTACAAAGCAGCTGGCCTGAGAGCAGTGTGGTAGTGCACTGGTGCAAGCAAGGACAATATTTACATCCATTTATATTCATGTCACAGCATGGATTCTTAATAGCCTTCCTGCCAAACCTTGCTCAATAGTCCTTTTGGAGAACCTATGGATCAACTTCATTTATAAAAATTTGACATTGCACTCTGCAGTGGGAAAGTGATTGTAAAAGGTGGCCAACAGAAAGTGCTATTTCCCATATTTTTTCTGTATTTTTGTACCTTCTTGTCTGCTGTGTCATCGAGTTCAGCTATCACCTCTGAAACTGTCACATTTTGTTCTAGCTAATTGCCTGTGATAAAGGCTACAGAATACAAATATAACCATTGCTTATGGTCCTTTGGCACCAAAGAGCTTGTTGTGTTGCCACAGTGGGAAATGCTGGGTTATAACCAAACTTCATTTGCAAAACAAATTTGTTTTCTTGGATTGGCTACTTTTCTTGCAGACGGGCTTGGAAGGGAGCATTTCCTGGGGTGAACCTTCAAAGGTCAATACCTTCCTGTTGAATGCTATTCCTGTGTGTGACAGCTATCATCTTGCTTCCCTGTTATCTTCAAATAATGGTGGAAGAGACTGGGTCTGTCTCTGCTTGCAGATGCTGGCTTTGGGGGTGGCTGGAGCAGAGCACTTAACCCTGCAGCCCCAAAAAGTCATGTTGAGGCAGGATGACATTTGGCCAATTCCCATTATGTCCCTTCTCAGTCAATAAGGTGAAAATAGCAGCTGCTTCCTCATTTGCACATGTTTAATTTCTTTAATTTCAGATGAGATTCCTCATGTAGATGTAGAGACCTTGCAAACTTTTATGCAAGGGGCTACTAAGCAGGATTTCACACAGGCTCTTCAGGATTTAAGCAAGCCACTGGCAAGATGCTGGCTTAGAGAGAGTGGGTGGGTGGGGGGCTGCAACGCACCCAAAGGGCCCTGCCCCCCACCCCCTTCTAGATATTGTACCTTGCATGATGGTACCCAATATTAATCCGGACTAGCTCTCCCCAAAGCAAATCTCCAGGGGTAGATAATCCCGTTGCAAGCTGTCCCTTTCCACCCCTGGAGGGCCCTGAATTAGGTCAGACTGGATTAAATTTGCATTTTATTTATCTAATTTTTTTTCGTGCTCGTTACACGCACACTCAGGCTCGGAGGAGGCGGGGAGGGAGGCGGGGAGCGGCGGGAGCTTGAGCCGATGGCAGTGTCTGATGCCCGGCGGCGGATGCCAGCGGCAGCCGGGCGATGGCGAGGAGCCGGGCTGCTTACGAGTACACGGAGGCGGAGGACAAGAGCATGCGGCTGGGTTTCCTCCTCATCGCCGCCGGCTTGCTTTCCCTCTTGGGTTTGGGTTGTTGCTGGCTTCGCCCGGCGCTGCAGGAGCGGGGCGGCGGCGGCTCCGCCAACTGCACGGTGCTGGCGGTGCGGCAGCTGGGGGAGCGCTTCGCCTGCACCTTCTCCTGCGGAGCCGCCTGCCGCGGCACCGCCCGCTACCCCTGCCTCCAGGTCCTGGTCCGCACCTCCCGCTCCTCCGCACCCGCTCTGCTCCACGAGGACGAGCGGCAGCTCCGCACCAACCCCAAGGTGAGACCCGCGAACCCCTTCCTCTCCCAAAATGCGGGGTGGTGGGTCCCGCCGCGGCGATGGTGCCCTTTTCCCGGCCCCGGTGCCCGCCTTGGGCGTCCCGGTCCGCAGCAATCGCCCTCTGCTCGGTGCGGGTTTTAATCGGGGGGGTGGGGATGGAGTGGATGAAGTCCCGGAGCATCCCTCCAAAACACCACTCTGCTGTTGCTCAGCAAAACGTAGTATATCTCTATAGTGTGTATATACATATATATGTATATGTGTGTGTATATATATATATATATACATACTCTACAGGGTGCATCTATATTTATGTGTTGTGTGCATATATATATATCTAGCATGTCAGGGGAGGTTTAGGCTCCATATTAGGGAAAGGTTATTCACCCAGAGGATGGCTGGGCACTGAACAGGCTCCCCGGGAAAGTGGTCACAGAACCAAGCCTGCCAGAGTTCAAGTAGCGTTCGGACAATACTCTCAGGCACATGGTGTGATTCTCGGGGATGGTCCTGTACGGGGCCAGGAGTTGGACCCGATGATCCCTGTGGGTCCTTTCCAGCTCGGGATATTCTGTGATTCTACATGGCATAGTATAACATACTATCAATGTATAATGTATAATATACTACATACTATACTACACTATACTATATACTATCCTAAGTACAGTATAATACTATATACATGCACACACACTATATAAATATACACACGCACACACGCACTTCGCGATCAGCCCCATTCATTCCCAGCCCATCCCTCCCGCGTCCGGAGCGCAGCCCTCGGGCGGAGCGCAGCGGGAGCAGCGGAGGCTCAGCTGCCGTTCCCCGCCCCGCCGAAGCTCCGGGACGACGGCGGGGAGCCGGGGAGAAATTCCTGCTGCCGGCGGGGAGATCTGTCTGCTCGGGCGGTGCCCGATGCCGCTGCGTGATCCAGAGGGTGGGGGGTTTCCTAGAGCAACTCCCCGAAGCGCAAGGGGAAGTGTTAACGGAGCCGCTGCTGGCGGGGCGTCGAGGAGAGGGCTGCTCTGAAACAGAAGTTTCCTCCATGCTGTTTTGATTCTTAGACTTCTCCATCACCCACATGAAAAAGGACCGAACGGAGGAGTCCTAAAAATTCCATCTTACAGCAAACTGGGATAGTCTGAAGGCAATATGTGACTTGTGCTTTCTCTTTCTTTAAAGGCAGTTATTCTGCCTTCTCCTTTTTCTTTTCATATTGGGTAAAGATGGCCTTGAGAGCATGCTGCCTGAATGGAGGAGATTTTATTAAGTAGTTTCCAGAAGAAAAAAAATGTGATGGAATCCCTCTACCTATGAAAGGACTTGAGTCTTGAGTATATTGGAGAAGGAAATGTCGGCTCTTTGACTGAGATTTGGATGCAGCACAATGTCAAGGGTCATGTTAAGCACGATGCAGGGGTCTGCTTGCAGGGGCCAGATAGCAGGCTTGAGTGTCCAGCTGGTATGTGCCTCCTCACATCTCCTCAGTCATACTTGCACTGATCTGGCTCTGTCCCTTGGAAGGTGGATTAAATTGCAAGCTTAGGGGTTGAGGGTTGCTTTTTTCCCCTTGACAGCTTGTGGCCTTGGAAGGGTGGTTGGGGCAAAAATCAGCAGAGTAAGAAGCAGGATGGTAAATCTGCCAGGATTTGGATTAAATTGTTGGCACTGTTCAGAAGTGATGAGCGATGAAGCTTCAGTGCTGGATGGTGCCCCATAGCAAAGCAGATGAAATTTTGGCCTGTGAGGGAGCTTTGCAAATTTCACCTTTCTCTGGGAATGCTGCTGCCAAGCTCCCTGTGGTTACAGAGGTGTACTGTGAGTGCCTCAGCTGTCTGAGCTCCAGGACTTCTCTAAATATCTCTCAATTTTCAGGTGGGGAAGGGGTAGTTGGTAAAATGCAGGAGAAAAAACCACCCTTTCGATGTGGGGCGAAGATGACATGGTGCTGCAGAGGGTGCAGTGTGGCTCTCCCTGAACACGGCCCAATGGCCCTGTTGTGGCCACGTCCAGCAGGGATGGGAGGTGGAAGATGGGAGGTAGGTGCTGAGCCATGCCACCAGAATGACTGGGCTCAGCAACTCCATCAGCTTCTGCAGTTTCAGCAGAGGCTTTCAAATTGGACTGCGACCACAGTATCTTTCTGAGTGGTCCAAGTGTTTTGTTTTTACTTCTTGATCCTGTTTGCTTCTACCTTTCTGGAAGTCTGGTGGGAAGAGAAGGATTACACCTGCCCAGGGGCTGGATTGCAATTCTGCAGGGAAGCACCTAGAGCTTCAGAAGTAATGCCTGTAAATGTCACTCAGAAACCTATTTTTATTTAACAATTAATTTTATATTAACAATTGATAAAGAAACAGGGCTTTGTGTTGGCAGTGTGGTACTTGCATGCTCTTACAAATATAATCTATTTTCTTTACCTTCCTCATTGCATCTCTAGGTGTGGGTTGTTTAAGCTGGCTATTGATTGTTGAGCATTAAATCTGATTTACCAGATGAGCCCAAGCCGAAAGGATGCTTTTTTTTTGATGTAACCGCATTCTCTAGTAGTAATTGAATTTAACTAAATGGAAAACTACATAGGAAAAAATGTGCTCCAATTATTTTCCCTACTTTAAGAAGCTTGTGTAAAACAAATGGAAAATAAGAAGAAAAGTTGTTTAGGTCTCATCAGGAAAACATACCGTTGTAAGGAACTGAAGTCTGTATCTGTTGCTTTGGTTTTCCCTTTTTTCTGCTAATTCCATGTCTGTGGAGCCAAACAGTTATACTCTCCTTTTAATTTTTGTTTTAAAATCTCACCTTCTTTAAAAGCTTTCAGGATTTTATGTTGAAATATATTAAGCAATAGAGTAGGAATCTGCTGGATCTAATGCTCAGGATCCAGTATTTATTTATGAATGAACACTTAGGGATTCATTAACCCTTCCTGTTCCCATCACCTTCTTGCAGTATGCTTCCTTGTGTTCATGCAATTTGACATACAACATGTTAAGCACTTCCAACTAACTGGAAAGGAAAAAAATGACCAATTTTGCTTTGAATAGTCTTTAAATTTTATATTCTGTTTAGCTACTTCTCTTTGTAGGGTAGCAATTTTCCCCTGTAAATCAATAGTGTGGAAAAGGTATAGTTCAGGCTCCTTACAACACACAATGCTGAATTAGTTGGCAGCTTCACACTCCCAAAAATCCCCAGTGCATTGAACTAAAAACCTTCTATTTTCTGTAGTAGAGTGGGCTGGCACTTCAACATATTGCAGCTATGAATCTGTCTGTTCTAGCGAGGAGAAAACTGTTCTAGATGCAGGAACAATATTTTTTTTCCTCTCTTGCTTTCTAAGATAATCACATCATTGGACAGCCCAGGATTCATTTTAGCTCTTAGAAGATTATATAGCTGGGTCAGAGTTAATCCAGGAATGTATATAATAAAGCACCGGACACGATTACATTTGTGTTTAGTCCGAGTGATTTGTGGATTTCTTTTTTTTTCTTTTTTTTTTTTCTTTTGATTGCTGTCTCAGAGGAAGAAATTTCATTGGAGTAACAGTAGCCTTTCTTCAGCTGCCTTGATAGCAATAACAATCTCTGAGATAAGGCTTAAGGGGGATTAATTCCAAAGTCAAGTTGTCGCTATCACTCTGGCCATCAAGTAAGTCGGCAAGTGTATACAGCCAGTGCAGGGACCAGGCTATAAGTTTGGTTCAGAAAAATGACAGGGGAGTGTGCCAGCTGCTAAAACAGTTTACTTTCTGGCTTTTTAGACTTTTCCCTTTCTATACTTGAAGTTAAGAGTGGGGTCAGAAGAACTTGCCCACTGTTTTGCCAAAGAAACTTTTATGGGAGTGACTGATAAGGTAGATGTTAGCAGCTCTGCAGCAGGACCTGGTCTCCCCATCCTTGTCCTTGAGCAGGGTAGCAGAGCAACCAGCTACTGCTCCTTGTCTGCACTCGACATCTACCCATGCTCCTGTCCTGCTTCTTTCTGTAACTGCTCCACCTGACGAGATGATGTGCAATTAGCTCTTCTGTGCACTTGTAAATAGAACTGGGATTGATTTTTGGACTCCCTTAAATATGACCCATGACAGAGGAGGTTCCATAACAAAATATGCCCAACTTTCCGGTAATTATGGGAGGGTCTGGTGCATCTGGTGAAGCATCAGATCTGTGTTTGGGCTGGCACCTGTGATGGGCAAACTATGCAGATGCTGCCTAGCAATTCCTCTGGAAGCAGCCCCAGGGGCCATGGATAAACCTCACCATCCACTTATCTCACCTGGGGCACTACTCACTGCCTCAAGCCTCTATGATGAGTTGTGGGTTTGGTCACTCCTGGTGGGTTGTGCTGATGAAGCAAGGTGATCATTTGTGCTGACAGATGCAGGTGAAAATGAGACATGGTGCTCAGTTCTAGCTCCCTCAGGACACCCAGCTGGAAGGGGGCAATTTTTTTGCATTAATGCAGTGAGTCCACCTGCTCATCTCCTTCTACAATAGGATGGTTGTGGCAGCGCTTCCTTCCTTCCATGCCGTGAAGCTACCCCAGTAATGCATGGAGACACACAAAAATTTAGAAGCTCATGTATGGTGTGGGGGGTTTGACCCTGGCTGGACTTCAGGTGTCCACCCAAGGCACTTTATCTCTCCCCTCCTCAGGTGGACAGGTGAAAGAAAATATAAGAAAAGGCTCATGGATCAAGATAAGGACAGGGGGAGATCACTCACCATGTACTGTCATGGGTGAAACAGACTCAACTCAGGAATATTAATAGATAAGGGTATTGTGTAAAAAAAATCAAATCTAAAAACACCTTCCCCCAATCCTTCCCTTCTTGGTGGGCTTAACTTCACTCCTGATTTTCTCTACCTCCTGCTCCCCAGCAGTGCAGAAGACAGGGAATGTGGGATATGGTCAGTTCATCACACATTGTTGCTTCTTCCTCCTTCTTCTGCTCCAGCATGGGGTCCCTCCCACAGGAGACAGTCCTTCAC